ACCCTGCTCAGCATCCTGGCTTTCTGCCATAGTTTTCTCATGGAGAAAATCTCTAGCTTTTGATGGATGGGGTAGAGACGGTTGCCTGGCTATTCCCAAATAGAGGAGAGGGAACTAGAAATCTAGCTGCTTATAACAGAGTTTCAATAAACACTTGCTTATGGGCCTAAGTTCACTGTCACTTTTAGATGTCTCTAAATTCTGGAGCTTTCTGAAATTCTAGCAAGCACCGGCCTATTTTCCATTACTTATGTACTTAGATTTTAACTCTCTTCGCTTGAGTCATTTACTACTACTTAGACTTTAATTCTCTTTAATTAAGTCATTTACTACTTATCTATCTGCTTTTAATCTGCCGAGAGTTCGTTGACAATTGTTTCGTACCTTTTCTCTTTGTCCTTTGGGGTTTATGTTTTGTTTCATGCTCTTTTGGAGACATCTAAGGAGAAAGCAGAAATAGAATATGTATCCAACCTACTTTGTTTAATAAGAAGTGCTCACTTTTATAATTTTTTTTAACCACTTACTCTTTAAAAACATTTAAAATTGGGGACTAAACGGTGTCACAGCAGTAACTTAATGCTTTGTGAGGCTCCCCTTGAAGGGAAGGTGAGTTCAGCACAGAGACCTCTCTGAGTATGTGAGGCCTATGAGCTGGGGTTAACTAGAGCTGGGGGTGGATGGTGGCATCTGGACCCTGTTGAGGATAACTATTTCTCTGTCTCTCTCGCTATTTCTCTCTTTGTGTTACTCAAGGAATAAATACATAAGCTTAGGAGCAGCAGATGGTGGGACAATTACATCACTGGACTCCCACACGGGTGACCACAGTTCAAGTCCTGGACCTGGAGGCTTGAAACTCATACTAGGCATGTGTGTATGCATGCCCAAAGTCCTGAGAGGAGAAGGGATCGTGGCATGGCTGTTCCCCCAGAGGGGATTTCTTGCTTTCTGTCTCTCTGTCTCTGTTTCTCTGGTGAGTGCACATGCCCAGTTGCAAAAAATCAAAAAAAAAAAAAAGCATAAGCTTAAAAAAAATCAAATTGACAACTATGAACTATGTTAACAATTATGTTTATTTGTATTTTCCAGTGCAGTGAATTATCAGGTAAAGCAAAACAAAATAAAACCGCTTCTTTTCCTTCTCCTTCCACTTCAAATCCAATTGTATAAAGTTGTTTTAAATAAACAAAAGATGAACAGACATTCGATAAGAGTTTTTGAAGAGGGCCGCATTATTCTGGGGTGTCCACACCAAAATTTCTGATATAGGCAACTACAGACACAAAAAGAAAATAACCCCATCAGATAATATATGTAAAAACATTGACTCCTAGTGCCTCAAGCAAGCGTAATTCTTCTGCTTTCTTCTGACCTATTCACTGCTACTCACTATAAATTCCATGGAGAACAGCATACTTTATTACTCTTCAAAATTTGATTGTTCTTACCGTCTGTTTAGCATCAATAGACTGTCTAGTCTATTGCAGTTTTAATTCTTTTTTCTTTCTTTCTTTTTCAGAGAGGATTTTGCCATAGGGTGCATATACTCACCAGAGAGACAGAGAAACAGAGACAGAAAGCAAGAAATCATCCCCTAGAGGGGATAGCCATGCCAAAATCCCTTCCCCTCTTGGGATTTTGGGCACACATGCACATGCACCTGCTGTGAATTTTAAGCCACTGTGTCTGGGACTCAAACTACATTCAACTACGTGGGAGTTCAGAGACATAATAGCCCTTATGTCATCTGCTGATCCCGTAGTTTTAATTCCATAGGTGGTAAACACTGAATTTGACCTCTAGCCCACTTTGATATTTTTTGCTATAGGACATGTGCACTTGCTAGAGAGAGAGAAAGAGAAAGAAGGAAAGTTAAAAATGACCCCTGGGGGTTTGGTCACGTTCTCCATTCTCCTCTTAGAATTTTGGGCATGTACACACAAGTGCTTGGCATCTTTTCCAAGCCACCAGATCTGGGACTCAAACTGCACACACAGCCAAGTGGGATCCAGCTGCTTTTTCCACTAGCTACCTGACTGCCCCCTCACTTTGATACTTTTAATGTGAAGAGGAATTGTCTTTTCAACCATACAGTGGTTTGCATGAGTTCATAATGGCATCCTGACCTCTTTAACATCAGTGGAAGCACAGAATTCCCAGTAAGAAAGTCAAAGGAGTCAGAATAAAGAGCTAGTAGCAACAATGAAGATGCTAATCAAATCTTCAAACCATCCAGATGAATATTTACGCTTAACTTTTGTGGGTGTCTTGACGGCAAATGTCAGCTCTCTCTGTGGTTAGTGACTTCAATTAATTAAAAACAAGATGAAGAAACATGCAGATGCTTGCTGGAACAAGTAAATGCAGCACGACCTGTGGTAGGTCTCACTTTGCAAATATTACATGTTCTTAAGAAGCCAGACAGAGAACAGGTTTAGACTTGAGGATAGCAAATGTCAATAAAGCCAAGAAGAAATTTTTTTTTCTCCCTGAGAAAAGATTTTCCCACATATCTAGAAGGAAATAAATGCGGACTGGTCCAGTGTTTTATTCTCAGTTTTATTCAATACTCAAAATGCACATAATGTAAATTCTCCATTGAACTCTCCTACATCCAAGGACCATTTACTGATGATGTTCAGATAGGCTAATATTATTCCAATATTTCTCCTAAACCTCTAACATGTTCTAAGGAATCGTCCTGAGCTATCTTAAACGCAACAAATCCATTATCAGTCAAATTTCCTGCTCATCAAGCCTAATATCCCTCCTATTAATAAATACCTTAATTTAATGGATTTATGGAATTAAGTCACTAACCTGAACATTTTAGTCATATCCACTACCAAGAATAGTTCTTGCACCAGTAGCTAATAAGCATTTCCCACGTAAGTGAAAGGATGGATTTTTAATACTTGTTCCCCCTTTCCTGGTGGTGTAGTAAATTCCTTCCACTCTACTTCACATTTCCTGTCAAGACATCCCCTTCCATTGGCTACACCGTTACTGCCTTTAAGTCACCTGACTCTTGTGTCTCTGCCTTCTCCAAGACCTGCATCCTTGCAACACCTATCTGAACATAATATACCTTGGTTCAACATTTAAATTTTTTTTTACGTTGTCTGCAAAACAAAATTTGAATTTCTCCTCCCGACTCTTCACAATTACTGAACTCTCTTCATTCGCCTCTTTCTCTGGCTCAGTTTTACCTTCCGCTGAATTAGATTTTTTTTCTATTTTTGACCACAGCGTGCAGCAGCTCCATGTCCCAGGCTCTTGATCATAGGTTTCCTACATTGGAATGTTTGTCCTCTCTGTCTCTAGCCTGCTCAAATCTTATTCATCCTTTAGCCCCTAATTCAAATACCAAGCCTCCTACCAGCACTATATTTTTAACTCCTCAAAGCTTCCATGATGTTTTCTGTTCATATTTCTGCTCTAACTCTCCACAGTCTGAACTGTATTTTAATACGTGATCTGTTCATCTGTCTCTCTCTGAAGTTCTGAATGCTCTAGCCCCAGCTTAGCCCCTGGTCCGTAGTATATGCTATAGAAAGTTTTCACAACTGGCATTGAATTAGAGCCATAAATACATCGTTACTGAGAATTACACATATATTTCAGAAGGTAGAGGGGAAAATAAAAAGGAACCAGAAAGTTTCTGTGGACAGAGGTTCACTAAAGAAAACATTTGTAGAAGCGAGGGAGGCCTGCCCCACACCTCACATGGTGGCCACCCGGCCTCTGATTGCTCCTTTCCTTTGCCTTCTGAATCTTTGAGCTAGAAGCAACCTGGCAGCATGTAGGCCTATAGCATTCATTCTTTATTTTTCTGTTTATCTCCTGTTCCAGGTGTCCTGAGTGGAACTTTGAGAGCCCCAGTGCTTAAGATGAGATAACACAGGGACCCGTGGGAGGAAAGCATGCTGCCTGCCCTTGGAAAGTGTTCATCTCGTTCCAGTCCCTCCCAGGGAACTTGAGCCTCCTTGGAATGTACTGCTCTCTCCTTTGGTGTGTGTTCTATTAGTGGAGGGAAGGGGAGGAGAGGGGAGAGGAGAGGAGGGGAGAGGAGAGGAGGGGAGGGAAGGGCAGGAAGCAAGCTGTTGTGGTTTCCTCTCACACCTCCAAGTTCTACATGGTCCCATGCACTGATTGAGGGGCCCAGGGGTGAGTGCTGGTTGTATCTGAACTTTAATTGTATATGGCAAGGACTTTGACTACTTGGGAGAAAGCTTTCCTTCTTGTGTGCTTTCTTTCAGTGGAGGGCCATTTCACCCAATTAGAGGGAAATTATGAGAGCCCTACCATGTAAGAAAGTGCTAATTATACTTACCTAACCAACGAGAGAAGGCTCTGCTCCAGCAGAGGGATTTTTTTTTTTTATCATCACTCTTTATTCCAAAACAAGTATAACTACATACTAGAGTGAAATATAAAGACCTCCTATGTCATCACGGTTGGCTTCAAGAATTATTAATTGTTATAGCTGATCTTATTTCAGCTCTACCGTGAACTCTCAAATCATTTGGAAGCCAATCTGACGTCATATGATTATTTCATTCATCCGTGTTTTTAAACATGTAGGAATTGTCTTAGCAATATTGTGAACATCGTGTACCTTGAGTTAGGAAAATCTCATCTTACCTGGTATCCATATTCCGTTTCCTCAAAACCTGAAAAGTAAGAGGGCTTCCGTAGAATAGTGTCAAAACCTCAGCGGAGAGTTGGATGGTGTGAGGTAGCTCCGAGTGCCCTGGTTAATCTATTCTGTACACAATGGCACCCAGGGTGCAGGAACGCCCCTCCTTTGGTCACCTAGTAACTTTTCACTGGTCAACAAGAAGCTGAAAAAACGATTATGTTGTGAGAAAGTGCTTGGCTAGCCGACTTGGATCAGCTCCTAGATTTTAGGAGAAATAACCCATCGCCAAGTTTGAATTTGCTAAACCTTGAGGCTCTGTTGGCAACGAAGTAGCAGACCATTTTGAGAGCATAAAATGGATCCGGAAGACATGGGCTCAGGTAAACTGGGCCAAATATTGAAGCAGATTTGGAGACAAAACCTGATGCTAAAGCAGGCGCTCCTGGGAGATGACCTGTGTGAGGGGGCTGCGGGGGGCACCTGGGTGGCCACGGTGGTCTTTCTGGGTCAAGAGCTCAGTGGGACTCTTCGCCAACTGTTGGAGCACACCGCTGGGACCCTGTGCTCCATCTGCCAGCAGCTGTATGCGCTGCTCGACAAGGAGAATCCACATAGCTGGAGACAAGGCAAGTATTTTAAGTTTATTCTTTCTCTCAGAAATCACTGAATCATGGGGCCAGCAGATGGCATAATGGCTACATTGCTGGACTCCCACGTAGTTGACAGTGGTTAGAGACCCCAACTTGGCGGCTTAAAGGTCACACTGGGCATGTGTGTGAGCATGCCTAAGATCCCAAGAGGAGAATGAAGGAGAAGGAATTGTAGCATGGCCATCCCCCCTGGGGGTGATTTCTTGCTTTCTGTCTTTCTGGTAAGCACATGTGCCCTACAGCAAAAATCTCTCTAGAATAGAAAGAAAGAAAGAAAGAAGAAAGAAAGGAAGATTGATTGAGGCGGTATGTCAGAAAGGCTATGAGCACACAAACAAGGCTAAGATAGTTTCTGTCCACGACGGACTGCCAATGTATAGAAGAAACGGGGTAAAACCAAGTGCAATAATGCAAGGGCCCTTGAGAATAGTCCATTAGAGAAACTCAGAGAAAGGACTGTTGTGCTTTCGAAGCAGGTGAGATCCGAGCTTTCAGTGGGGAATTGAGAATTTGACTAGAACGAATGTGGTATTTAAGCTGAAGCTTAAGGAATGAATTGGATTTACACAGCTGGAAATGGGGGGCCTTGGGGGTCTCCGAAGAGCATTCCAGGCAGAGGTACTACTACTAAAAACTTAAAGGCAGGAAAATACAGGCCTCATTTGAAGCAGTGCAAACATTATTTCCATATTGGCATATAATATTCCATCTTTAGGCTTACTTGAGCTCAAACCTGTCCACTACAAAAACGCTAAGGAAATTGAAATGGACCAGGATGCAGAATGGGCTTCCACATAAACCACGAGGGAGAGGATTCTTAGGAAGAGCAGAGTTATAGATTCCGAGAAGTGTGGTAAGGGGGGGCGAGCATGGTAAATATGACCTCAGACAACAGCTACTCTGGGTTAACATAGGATTGGCATCATGAAATCTGAATCTAAATATATAACATCAAGGCAAGTGGGAAGGTTCCATCAATCAGGGATCGAGAATAGATAATACTGGGAACCAGCAGTTAGCGTAATGGCTATGTCGCTGGACTCCCATGTAGTCGACTGCAGTTCGCGTCCCGGACCCGGTGGCTTAAAACTCACACCGGGCGCGTGTGCGTGTGTGCCCAAAATCCCAGGAGGAGAATGGAGGAGAAGGGATTGCAGCATGACCATCCCCCCTGGCGGGGGGGATTTCTAGCTTTCTGTCTCTCTGTCTCTCTCTGTCTGTCTGGTGAGCACATGTGCCCTATAGCGAAAACCTCTCCAAAAAAAAAAAAAAAGAATAGATAATATTAAGAAATTCAGTCTGGAGGCTGAGTCATGGGCATCAAGCCAGTCTGCCCCAAATCAGCACAGCCCAGAAGAAGTCATCAGCTGATTATAACCAGGGCTTCCTCTCAGGAGAAAACTGAACATGGTCCTAAGCAACATATTGAGATAAGGACTTAATCAGGAAAATCAAGAACTCAGCTGCCGGGACAGGAGTTCAAAATTAAGACAGGGTCTCAGGTACAAGACACACACACGCACACACGCACACACACACAGATGCTTTCAGATTGGGAGCTCCAAGACAAGCTCAGTATCAGCGCATGATGTTTCCCAAAGCCGTGAGTTCTAAGTTCTTTGTTCTTAGTTTAGTTTAGTTCTTAGTTTCTTTCTTACTGCAGAATTGAATTCTAAAGATTGGAGAGGTGCTACGCCTGCTAATAGTTGTCCGGTGACGATGGCTGTGAGGAGAGAAGAGATGAACAAATGAAGAATGGCGCACAGTGGAGCTGGGATGAGAAAGCATAGCACATCAGATGCCGATAAGGCTTTACAGCAGAGTGCAGGGGCTTGACTTGATCAAGGAATCCTTGAGTAGCCACTGCAGATCCAACCAGAGAACTGGCATGATCAGAGCTCTTCTTTGAAAGACTAATCTTGAAAATTCCCTATGATCATAAGCTAAGCAGGAGGAACAGTATATACCTAACCCAATTCTCACAGCAGCCATCTCCCCCCAAAACACAGCATTGATATCAGCAGAAAGACTGTGACCCGATTCTGATCTGGGATGTTAAGCCAAATTTTAGGCCCACCATTGTAAATGGTTAATTGATATAGTACAACTAGGGACAAAAGAACAATTTTCAAAATCATAGCAAGTGAGGAATGGTTGAGGGAGGTGTTGACTTCAGTTCATTCTTATTGGGGGTAGGGCTGTCATAATATCTGTCTTCAGATACACACAACATTTGCATGAGCAAGAGTGCTTAGACTTACTCCTGCTGCTACATTAAAAAGTAGTTTGTCCACAGTTCCTTGATTTCTCCAAAAAGTGACAGTTGTGCAAAAGATTTCTCCTTCACCCAGTTGGCTTTAGTGCCCAGTAAGAATCTTTGTAGGTTTCTAAGGTTATATGACATGCCTCATGTCAGTATAGAGACATAATTTGGTATAGCTTTGTATTTATCCAAGTGTGTGTGTGTGTGTGTGTGTATGTGTGTGTGTGTTTACGTGTGTGTGTGTGCACATGTGTGCATGTAGAAATCATTGCTTTCACAGACTGCCTCATGAAAATAAATGAACACTTGGGGAGCAGTGCTGCACTTCTAAAGAAAGAAGAAGAGGAGATGTGTAATTTATGCGGCATGCGTGATGAATGTCCTCCACCACAGACAATGTCCTCCATTCAAGATACCAAAGCAACAGACATTGCTTCAAGAGGGGAACTAAATGTCATAGAAACAGCTACTGTTCCTCCCACAAATGGAGAGGAAAGTCACTACACAAGCCAGGTCCAGTTAAAAAAGTATAAAATAGATGCAAGTTCAGCATTTGAGGATAGAAAAAATGCTGCATCGCTGAATGGAAATGCAACAGGACGAGAAGAGTCACAGGACACGATGTTCCCAGATAATGCAGAAACGGAAGAGAATAAACAAATAGAACATGTGACTGTTGAGACTATAAATGGCAACAGGGAAGAGATTCATGACATAATGCAGAAAACAGAAAGAGAAATTCAAGAGACCTCAGAAAGCCCAAGAGCAGGGATTACCACATCCTCAATGACATGTGATGTCTCCAGTAAATATAGGGATAGTCTTGCTTGTGATTCAGAGAATCTGAAACAGAAGACTAACATAATGGAAAAGGAGTAAGTAAATCCCACCTTGAGAAGAGCTTACATATGCCTACTTACATGTGTGTTCCTGTAGTTAGAGCATGTCTTAGTCTGTTTCGATCACTGTAACAAAGTATCATTACATGAGTAGCTTTTAAACAGCACAATTTTGTTTCTCATGATTCTAGAAACTAGCAAGTCCAAGGTTTGGACATCAACTGATTTGATGTCTTGCGAGGATTTTCTGGTTCATAGACAGCAATTTCTTGTTATCTCCTAATGTGGAGTAAGAGATGCATAGCTCCCTGGTGTCTGTTCTAAGAGGGCACTAATGCCCTTTGTGAGGATCTGTCCTTAAGATCACATCATCTTCCAAAAAGCCATATATTCCGATATGATCACCTGTGGGTTAGGATATAAATCTATGAAATTTGGAAAACATAAATATTTAGTCCATAGCAATGCACACGGTATTTCTACATGAGTAAAATCTTATACTTCCATTTTGTATCTCTAAAATATAATGTAAATTAGTAATTCAGCAGGCCAACAGGTGGTAGGGTGGTTAAGGCACTGGACTCCCACATGGCCCACCGTGGTTCGAGTACTGGACCTGGTAGCTTGCTTTCTTACTTCTTACTCTC